AAAAGGTGCGCTACTCACCATAGCCTGTAGCAGTGAAGTGAAGTTGGGAGAAAAAAGGTAGAAATGTATTAGAAAAAGGCAACAGGGGAGAAAGAGGTTTACCCAGAGAATTAAAATTGCAAGAATGGCTGAGAAATGGATGCACTTTTTATGCATATGTAGTAGTTTTGTGAAAAAGCAACAATGAAGCGATTAGGGAATCAAGGGAGACTGGGATTTTTCAGAAAATCTCTGCTGCATTTCCACCTGAATATTAGATTTCTGAATGAAATACTAGTTACTGCTCATTCAGGCAGTGTTCCACTCTGATAAATCAATAGCAGACAGTCTGACAAGTTGTTTGTGTGTGTGTGTGTGTGTGCATGTGTGTGTGTGTGTGTGTGTGTAAATGAGAGTGATGAAAGAGGTGCACCTGCCTGTCAGTGCATGGTGGGTGTTTATGAGCGTGGCACTCAGCTTTGACTGGCAGCTGATTTAAGAGTCGGCATTATTTCAGCTCCCAGTGCACAATGTGATTTGGCATCAAAGCAACAATTTGACATATCATATGCTAAATATGCTTATTGGCTTTCCTGCTGTGAGTTCGATGAGAAGACGTAACCACTCTTGTGCTGTGAAAACAAAAGCTATAGACAGCAGCTAGCATGGATCTGTCAAGAGGTGACAAACCAGCATATCTACAGCTATCAATAGCATGCTATGCTTAGGATGTCAAACCAAAGTGTGAAACCACCAGTTGAAACTCCTAACAGGGTTAGTCAGGCCTTAACTTTTAGTCTTTATGACAAGCAAAGTTAAGCTGGTTTATTTAAGAACAGCAGGATCAGTTTTTCAGACACATTTCAACGTTGCTTTATGATGCTTTTATTTGGTAATATGGTATTAAGTTGTAACTATAGCGGTGCATGTATCATGTGCATTATGTAACTTATTTTGTTTATCGATGCTGAATCGCTTAAACTGATCCCAATGTCTCTGACCATGCTTATGATTGCTAACAGATTACTGCGGTCACCCGCTTACTTTTAACGTGAAAGTTGTGCCTTTTGAAATGTGACTGCAGCACTGAGGCAGAAATTTTAACCATTTTCCTCCAGTGCCAGGAAGCAACCTCCAGCAAACACTTGGTTACACGTGGTTACCAGATAGCAGTGTTGGGGAGTGTAGCCTACCGGCGTTACGTATTTAAAACACAAAATACGAGTAACTGTATTCTGTTACTGTTACCGTTTAAAAAGATGGTATTCAGAATACAGTTACTTTGTTGAAATAAAGGGATTACACGGCGGTCTTTTCCTGTTTCATATGTTAGGCCGGTGTCCTGCAGGTTTTAGATCTCACCCT